CGTTTCGAAAGAGTAATTACGTTTTACCCTACTAGAATTGATGCCGGAAAGATATCATATTGCAACAAGTCATTTGCATGTGAAAGTAGAAACACATGCAATTCAGATGAGAATTCTGGGCTGATTATAATGTGCACGTTAACTTTCCTCATTAAATGTGTGTGTAGGTCCGACAATAACCTCCACGATGATGAGTGAACTCTTTTAATTTTATCATCGCTTAGATTATGGCCATTTGACTTATAGCAGTGTCCAGTTTTTCCCATACATTGAGTTATTTGTGGCAGCTCGTCACAATATCAAAACTGACCGCCACAAATAGATTTGAATGTATCTTTGAAAAGAACCGACCGTCTTCAGAAAAGCTTCGATGTCATTTTAATTTTGTCTTTCCTGTAATGCCTGATAAAGCAGGGTTTGTGAGCACAGCGCTTATTTGATTACAGCCGTTACCGGGGACACCGCTAACTACTACTACTACTACTACTACTACTATCTTGTACCCTGCAATAAATATTTACTCAAACTCTCTTTTATGAGATGAAGGGAAAAAAAATAAAATAAAATCGGCATCATATATCGGCTGCTCTGATTTCTAAATATCGGCATCGGCCAGAGAAAAACCCATATCGGTCGACCTCTCTCTCACACACACACACACACTCTCAGACACACACACACACACACGTAGGTCTGAGAACAGGAAAAGGACACTCACTTGGCTTCATTGTAGCGTCCCTGGAAGAAGGACAGAAGGCCTCGGATGTAGAAGGCAGCGGCGCGCAGACAGTGAGAACTGGAAACACAGCAGAAACATGACACTTCAGTTTATAACAGCAGATATGAAGGCGGGAAAAACTCCAGCACAAGAGCTTTATACAGTACAGACAGATTCAAAGCAGCTTCACAGAAATAAACAACAGTGTCAATGCTGTAAATTCATCAATTCATGAGTCTCTGAGTAACATACAGTGGTGATTGATTACTGAATGAATCCCCAGTATTGAACAGTATTGAGCCAATGATTCAGTGATTCAATGCTTCGCTTCTGAATGAATCAGCTGTCTGAATGAATCAGTTGAACGAATGATTCACTGAGACAGACACTTGCTGCCATCTACTGGCGCTTTTAGTTTCATATTTTCATTTCCGTTTAAAATAAATCACTTCAAATTTACTTTAATAGCCATTTATTATCATTGTTTATGCTGAATCAAAATATTTCTTTCAAAAGCTACTTTTTTGTAATGTGTCTTGTTGGTAATTTCTCAACCAAAATTGATGGGCGATTCATTTTTTATCAATTAGATTAATTAATCGGCACACTGTGTGATTAAAATCTGTAATCGCTTGACAGCCCTAATATATATATATACACACATCTTGACTATTTCAGCTCCTCTTCCAATCAGAATCAGGAGAATCTGAATCTGTTTTATCAGTTGAATTGTTCTGAATCTTTGAAATGTTTTTACATGGATTCATTCATCTGCTATGAATCCTCTGCTAAAGTGACAGTATTTCAGTCAGTGTGTGTGTGTG